CCGCAGTAAATATTGGCATTAGCATTTGTATTAGTATCAGTATTAGTATGAGTATTAGTACTAGTAGTAGAAGTAGTAGTAGTAGTAGTAGTAGTAGGAGGAGGAGTAGTAGTAGTAGTAGTAGGAGCAGCAGCAGCAGCAGCAGCAGCAGCAGCAGCAGCAGTAGCAGTAGCTTAGCAGTAGTAGCAGTAGCAGCACTAGTAGTACCAATAGATTCTAACAGTATTAGTAGTATTAGGAGTAGATGCAGCAGTTGAGGTAGTAGCCATAGTGACAGTAGTAGCAGTAGTGGAAGTGGTAGTGGCAGTGGTAGTGGCGGTAGCAACGGCAGCAGGCACATGTAGTTGCTTGTGCTGTCATTGTTGTTCTCGTTCTTAGTGCTGTTCTTGCTGCTGCTAGTGACCGGCTAGTGTTCTCGTTCTTGTTATTACTGTTGCTGTTGCTGCTGTTGTGCTTTGGTATTTGATTGATTGTGGTCATGTTCGCCATGATGGCATGATGCTTTTTGTGCTGATGATGGTGGTCATGATCATGATCACTGCTGGTACTTCTAGCATATGTCACGCAGGCTTCTCTCCTAGTCTCCATACACGTACGAGGAAGTTTTGAACGCACTAACATATTTTGAGAAGGTCATCAATCCGAGTATGCCGGTAAGACTGTTTAAGAGTGCTTTGCCAAGGCATGCTGCAACAGCCCGGAGATTGTTCACGACTTCTTGCAGCAGAATCCAGACATAGCCTTCCTGAAGGAAGGTGTAAGCTCGAAATGCATCTGGGGATATCTGGGGTGTTGAAATCTTTGGACTTTGGGTTAGCTTGGACTGTGAGAGGATCTGTCTGCCTTCCACTCCTGGACTTTTGGGATTTGCGTAACTAGAAGTGGTCGTTCTACAACCGTTGTTTCGTGGAGTGCGGGGGGTCCAGTTCAGAAAAGCGAGCCTCAAGCTTGCAGCATGACTTCAAGTAACATGACCGATGCAAGATGCACTCCACTTTAGAACACAGAAAGTCTGTTTTTTGGGGGGTTCTGCCGCCTTGCGCCAGGACGCGCAGAGCCGCAATGCGCTTTTCTATGCTGTGGGCAGCAACAATTCCGAAGCAAAGACGGAGATTCTGAGGATGCTGCTGGAGGCGAAATGCCGCGCCAGCGAGGCGTGGCATCTTGGAAGCTGTTGCCTGCACTGCCTTGCCATCACGGAAGTCTGGTGAAGGAACTCAGCATGTGGTGGTATGCATGGAAGCATGGAAGTAAGAGAGAGCCATGAATAGCAACAGGTGGATGTGTTTGGTCGATCTGCACTACACTATGCCGCTCAATCAGGCAGGCCTTCCTGTGCATCAGGTGCTCTCACGTGACTCTGCCTGGTACTGTTGCAGGTGATATGACAACAGTGGAGGAACTACAGCAGGCAATCGAGCAGGAGGTTCCACCATGTGTGCTACACGGAGAACTTCAGGCCGCTGCTAAACGCCCTCCCTCCCTCCCTCCCTCCCTCCCTCCCCCTGCTAGGTTGGCAGTTTGTGCCGAGGTGGCTCGGAGACACAAATTTGTGCCTCTGCTGTCGGGAGCTAGTGCTACGCGCTATTCAAAAACATAGACAAGCAATGCCAGGTGGCAAAGGCATGCGCCACAGCGCATTGAGCATCCGAGACTGTATCCTTTGCCCGACATGCACCAGAGCAGTCAAGCAAGATTTGCGTGCTTCATGCTAGAGTATCAGATGATGAGCTACCCTGGAGGTTGCAGCAAATTGCGTGGACGCCGCCCTGGTTGAGGAAGACCAAAGCCAGGAAGCGGCAAAGGCAGCAGCAGATGCACATGTGTCTCCATTCAGCGACGAACACGGTAAGATACCGGAAATTGCAGAGGCAGCTCCAGCAGCCAGCGCTGTGCACGGGCAGAGGGAAGGCGAAAACAACGACAAAGCAGAGGCAGCTGCTGCTACTGCTGAGGAAGAGCGACAGAAGAGTGAAGCTGCAGATGTGACGGAGGCAGTTGCTGCCATTGCTGAGGAAGAGCGACAGCAGAGTGAAGTCGCAGAAGCGACAGAGGCAGGTGCTATCGCTGAGGAGGAGGGGGAGCAGAGTGAGTTCGCAGACGCTACACAGAGAGCGTTCACCGCTGACGATGAGCGACAGAAGATTGCATCTGCAGAAGTGCTAGAGGCAGCTGCTGCTATTGCTGCGGACAAGCGGCAGCAGAGTGAAGTCGCGGAGGAGGT